ATAGAACCAAGCACATTCCATGAAAAAGAAATCGCTCACATCATAACATTCTCATCGTCTTGTCCAAGAGATTCTCTGTAACAACAAACAGCAGTGAGAATGGCTATGTACTCTAATAGACAATATTCTATGATGATCTGCTTGTTCTGATACATTCCTAAGCATCACAACTATTAAACTAATTGGAAAAAGTAGCTACTGTAATTCGTCTGACTGCACAAACATGTCAACAAAATCTCTGCTAGTGAAAATATCAGTTGAACAATCAGTATTTCTTAACCAGCTAAAGCTTTTCGTCTAGACTGTGATGCGTGCCAGCAAGAAAAGCACCCATTTCCAGCTGGTATACTGATATTATACAGCGTTTTCTGATTCACCCCCGGTGACCATACATTTGTGCCAATGTTTTAAAGATCCCTAGATGGCATTCTGTATCCATTACTTTAGAACTGAATATAGTTTTAGGATACTGACCTTCAACTTGATCACATTCTGTTGTCAGGTGTTGCGGAGGGAGGAGGGAAAGCGTAATGTAAACAACTTGGTTCTTTTACTCACCTCGTGTTATAAACATTTGTATTTCTGATAACCCTCTTTTTTTTTTTCCCCTACTATGTAGATCTTTCAGGATTACTATGTGGGTTCTATTATGTTTTGCATTGCTTTTTTGCTTATATTTCACATACTTCCCTTTTTACTTCGGAAAGCCTCGACTTCAGTTTATTATGGCAAGCAAGCATTAATTATCAGAGAAGGATATACTCACATGGTGAGTCAATTAGTGACATGAATGCAAGTGATGATTCACTTCCTAAAGAGCAATATTTTTAGTGATTCCCATATTGGCATTCTGTCAGATAGAGAGCTCACCAAGTATCTGCTTTTTAGTTCACGTGAAAGATTTTGTTACTTTCTTCTTGTAAATAGTCTTTCTTGTAGTTTTTTTAAATTAATCTAAAAGCTGATTAATGTATTTTATCAATTAAAACTTTGGAATAATTTGAATAGCACTTCTGAAAATTATTTCTCAAAGTAAGCATATTTTTTTATATATATATTTCAGGGTTCGTAGCCACATTTTAGTTAAAAAAATAAGCACCTATAAGCACTTTTCAAGCACATTTTAAGGAAAAAATAAACACCTGTCTAATTACATTATACACAACTGCATAACCTTAAAAGAAAAATTAGACTTGTAATTTAAAATATGAGCAATGCAATATTTATTAAGAGAACGAGCATTACCTCAACCATGGAAAACAATTAACTTTTTTTTTTTTTAATTTTAAATAACAGTTCAATTTACAGAATTAGTTTACAATGAGAGAAAAAAAACTATGCAGAACTAAACTATATTACAAGATTTAATGATGAAATTTCAGTTCAAAATATAGAAAATAAATAATAATAAGCCATATTAATTGTATTTGTTTGGCACCTAATAATAAATACAATTTATTTTTCCACTCATATTAATATTTAAATAATTTAACTTAAATCAAAATTCTGAACATTTTCTAAATTTTCATTGTATAACAGTTTTTTTCCTTAATATATTCCAAGCAAAGTAATTTAAGTAAAAAAGAGGCACATTTCTGAAATCAGAAGACGGGAAATTGCTTCATGCAGTCATCCTTTAACAGTAAAGCTTAACTAACCCGCATACTTCGGAAATTGCCGAATATTCGGATAGTAACTGGAAAAAGAGGAGTGGGGAAGATTGTAGCCGTTCTTTAGATTTAAATTTCGGCTAAATAAATGATTTTGACATTTCGATATGTGCATCATATAAAAATAGACCAACGGAACTGAGAAATATTCTGCTTAGAAAGCACAGTAAAACTCTTTTAAGTGTTCATAAACAAATCTCAGACTGAACATCAAAATTAATTATCTCTGCAAAATACCGCAAACGTTATTGCACAATACGTGCGGCGTAATTCTTCCATATGTGATATTACGCAATCGGAATCAACAGCTGCCGGTATTCGGAGAATAAAGAACTAAATAAAGGAAAAGAAAGAGGCTTACTAATCTGGGGTGTTTCCGATTCTAATTTTCAACAGATTGCATTAAATTTTCGGAACAGAATCAATCTTCGCTTGGGTTGGGTAGACCGCAAAAACTTTTAGTCCTATTCAATCCAGCTAGGACAGTGACAAAAAAAAAGTCTGTTGCTTCAACATTAAAGATTTTGGGGAGAAACTCCCAACCTCTGTACTGTATAATGTATTGGGGGAAAAAAAAATTGACTATTCGATTACTTTCCTTTTATTTATGCCATTCCGAATATTATTCCTTAGAAAGCTAATCTGTGAAAAACACACCCATTTTTGGAAGTTTATCTATACTTCAGCAGTTACTGCAACTGTATTATTATAAATATTCATACATATGCTCATAATATAAGCATAACGATCATAATAAACATGAATATGAACTGACCACGTGAAACAAGAATGCAAATTATTAAAATCTTGATAGAAATTCAAACGTGTGTAGTATTTGGGTGGGAGGAAAAGAATGTACCGGAATTTTCTACCGTTTTCGTAATTCTTTGACCAATAAATAGAACGACGTGCACCTGTCTGTACTCTCGCGCACACCATAGGTTACGTTAATGCATAGGAAGGGGGGAAAGCAATTTCCGGAAGTATGATTCACTATCTGACGTTGCATATAAGGAAGAAAAGTTGTTTATTTAGTTTCGGCTTTGGTAGTGGGGGAAATGCGCGTTCATTAAAAACAAAGAATTAAAAAAAAGCACTAAAAGCAAAAAATAAGCACTAAAAACAAAAAATAAGGGCTTTAAAGAAAAAGTAAGCACCTATAAGGGCCTTTATATTTTATTTTCAAATATAAGGACTTATAAGCACTTGTAAGGACCGCTACGAACCCTGTATTTTCATGTAGAGTAAAGGAAAATATTATTAAATGCTAATTTTAACATAAATGATAGCTTCTGTAATAATTTGAAATGGTACTAAAAATTATGACATTAGGTGGTAAACTTTTATTCCTTTCTAAAGTTAGGCTTAGCAGATGCAAAAGCCCTATTTTGTGGTATGATTCCTTTCAACTCCTATTTGTTCCGAGGGAACGTCTTAACCCCTTCGTGCCGGGTAGCGCAAACAGACACTGCATAAGACACTGTCGGCGCACGCTTATTGCGGAGGCTGGCAGTGTCTTACGCAAGCGTCTGTCCAGGGCCGCTGGCTTTTTTGCTATTAAGCCTAAATCCATGAAATTTCGGAAGTATCAACACATTTTTCAATAATGCTCTATAGAGTATTTAAACGGATTATGCTTTATAGATATTTTTATATATACTTTAATTACCTTATTTCTTGTTTAAATGCATATTTTACACATTTTATTTTCATTACTCACCTTTTATGACTTTTAACATTATACATCTGAAAACTAAATATATTACTTAAAATTCTCTTTTCGTATGAAAAATTTGAAAACAGGGATCTACACACAGTCTTACGTTACATTCCTTGCACTCGTAATAACTCATTTGCCGTTTTGGAGGATTTTTCCGGGAATGTGAACAAACGAAGCATCGTCGTTCACATTCCCGGAAAAATCTTCCAAAATGGCAAATCGTAATAACTCATCGCCAGATTCTTTATGATCAGAATATATCATAGTATCATTATCATTACTATCAGAATCAGTTTCAGAATCAATATCTGAAATATTCTGCATCATTTCTGCTATTTCATGCTCTGTTAAACATTTTCGACGCTTCGACATTGCAACGGTAAAAGCAGAAAGAATTCATGTCTAATAAGATCTAATTATTTTTTAAAAACTGAACTGCAAACCGAAATCCCAACGCTTTAGCGAAAATAAAACTTCTCTACTTACAATAAACAACTACCACGTGGAAATTTAAAGAGACGTCATAAATCACGCCATTCGGAAACATTTATTTCCCCTTATATAATCAAAAACACGTGTATTTGAGTCATGCTTCTCTCATTTCGAGTAGAAGGTCAAATGTACATGAATCTGAAACCATATAGACATACAATGCCATCTTGTGGCAGAAATTATATTTTTTAAAATGTTCCAGGATACTGGCACAGTCGGGGCTGAACGGAAAAACGCTCTGGCATGCCTGCGTGTTGGCCAGGAAGTGAGTGTGTTCGTTGCTGACATGTAGACGTGACAGTCGGCGTGAAGGGGTTAAACAAAGGCATGCTGTCTTGAAAGGATTAATCTTCAGCTAGATATTTTACTTTTTTACAACTATCTTTGATATAAACTAATGATTGCATTTCACAAACAGTTAATAAAATTTGAAGTTTTTAAATGCTTTTAGCCAGCCTATTGGCCATATCAGCCTACCCTTTGTTGAAGTCATAAATCATGACCTTTGCTCATGTTGCAGTGATGCAAGTTATTGCTTAACAAAGCAATGTCTCAAGGATTTAGGTCTTCTGGAAACCCAATTCCACTTACCAGATGATGACAGAAGTGTGTCACAGACCCTTTAGCAACCTTTAAGGAACTGACGAAACATCACATATATCATTATTAGATTTCCAATCAACATTTAAAAGCAAAATACAAAATTAAAACTATCATTACATTTGTTTTAAAAACACCTAATATGCGTCCAAAATGGCACACACAATATATCACTGCTTATTTTGGATAGATATTGAATGACATATTTAGTGTGTCACTGGTCATACAACATGTAATAAATTTTGACTACTGAACCTAAAATTGTATTGAAATGCACATTTTAATATGGCTCATAAGAATGTCACAGATAAAAGATTAATATGTTTTTAACTTTTCTATGTTTGATGCTTTTTCCAATGATTTTCACATTATGTATCAAACATTAATATATATTTATCTACAGTTTAGCACAAGATGTACTATAAATTTAAGGCTGAAATAATCAGGATTCTTCCTCCTTTCTCTGTAAAATTTTGATTCTAAAACAAAATGAAAGCAAATACAAAATAGAAATTCACCTTAACTGCCCCACTCTGTGGCATCGATCCTCAGCTTGTTTGTCATTATAGGGATTAAAATCAATATCATGAAGAATAACTGTATCAGCAGCTGTTAAATTTATTCCTAAGCCTCCAGCTCTTGTAGACAAAAGAAATACAACAATTTCTGGATTGTTATTGAATTCATCAATTAACTGCTGCCTGAAAAATTTAATAAAACGTAAAATATTTTGCTTCTAAAAATATAAAACAAGCATAACTCAAACAAAAAATTAAAATAAATCAGAGACCTGCAATTTACTCATGTACTGTTAACCCAAGTTAAACATTATACAGATTATGTATTGGCTGAACTAAAACAGCATTAAGGTTACGCATTAAGGAACATGAATCTTATGTCCGAAAAGATGAAATTTACAAATCTTTGACTGCTAATCATAGTTGTAAATTTAATCACAATTTCGACTTTGGGTCTGCAAGATTTATTGCAAACTGCTATAGCAAATCAGATATAGCATTAAAAGATTTGTTATTTTTTTCTTTTGAAAAAACTAAAAACGTTAATCATAAATTAAATTTGATAGCCTTTTAAATATTCCACTGCATTAAAGAGTAAGTTAAATTTGTATTTCTCTCTTTATAAATATATCTTTTTGGCTAACATATATTTGTAAGCACACGAAATATATTTTTAGCAGCCCATTTAACTTCAATCGAAACGTCACTTTAAAAGATAATGTTTTTTTGTAAAAAAATGTACTAGAAGCTGAAGAACAAACTCTGGTGAATTTTTTAGTCGATAGCAAAATGAAACAAGACCAAAAAATTAAGTTTTAAGAATTGATTTACTTGATGATGTACATAAGCCAAAATATGCATATGAATGCCATGTGATGCTAGCTTAATGGTAAACCTAACAGTAACAAGGTTTAACTTTCGAGGTCGTGAGTTCGAATCCTATACGCTTTTTGCACCCTGTCTGAAACTTTCTTAGCTTTTTGTTCCAATTTGATTTATATTTGTGTTTTATAATTTATTTCTATTATTATATGCATTAAATATACTGTTTTATTTATGCTCTTATTTATTTAAATTTTCCCTGCAAAAAATTTTTTAAATTATATAATACGAATTTAAAGCATACCCTGTACATATATATTTGAATTTAACAAACATTCTCTATTCGTAAAAAGCAAATTTAAAGTTAATTAAATTCAGATGAAATTTAATGCAAACAAATAAATGATTAAGTATTGTTGCAAACTAATCTACAATATCATTTAAATTCTGAGAGCATATGTAAATCAAGTGCAAGTACCAAATCCATGGATTTTGATACTTACACTTGATTTACATATGCTATCAGAATTTAAATGATATTGTAGATTAGTTTGCAGCAATAATTAATCATTTATTTATTTGCATTAAATTTCGTTTAAATTTACTTTTTACGAATAGATAATGTTTGTTAAATTCAAATTTCATTCCTTGCAGCAATGTCGCAAAAGAATTATTTAAATTTAATTTATCTTTATTTATCCTTTTCAAACCCTGTACATACATATATATATATATTTTTATTTCACTTTTATGTGAATGTACATACACGTGCTCAAACATTGGGATATTTACGGCTCTAAACATTCATTACCAATTAACATGATACAGTATTAATGCCCTAAACATTTTTTAACAAAAAATTACTATAATGATTGCTTTTAAATTCAGTCCTCTCCAGCAGAAGCACAGGAATTAATTAAATATTTCCATTTTCTTTACCTAATGTGTGTATACATAAAGAGAAAAAGCTTATTTTTATAAAAAGCTTCTTCTATAAAAAGAGATAGGAATTAAAAAATTTTAAATTAAAAGTAATATTTTATGGATTATGCATAAAATATAACTGCCCATAGTGCATTTTAAAACAAACGAGATTTCTAATAAATTATCGAGCTATGATCTTGAAGTCCACGGTCAGTGGTATACAAGCAGAGCAAATTTTGTGTAAATATTGTGAACCTTTCTTTACAGTTGCTCTGTATTTTTAAAGTATCAACTATTTTTTAATTCGTTTAACTCTTTTTATTTATTTATTTATTTGTTTATTTTTTCACTAACAGTACATTTTAGTTTTAATAATATATACAGTCAAAAGTCATTAATTCGGACACCCATAATCCGGAATGATCTATAATCCGGACCTCAAAGCTACAAACTTTCTGCGCATGCGTCGCGTTGACACATGCGCGTAAGACCTTTACGGCTGCGAATATGTTTGTGCGTGTGCGCGTTTAATGTATAACGGACGGTTTAAGGTAAGCTAAAATTATCTATTTATCTATTTCAGTTAATGTTGCAGATTGCATTGTTCCTTAATCTTCGAATAGGATCCGGCTTATTATTTTTTGCAAACCATTACAGCAGTTTTATAAAAGTAAGCTTGAACTTTCGATTATGTCAAACAGAATTTCTGATATATATTTACTAATACGTAAAGGATTTACAAAGCGAAAGTATATTTCGAAGTTCATTAAACAAAAAGTGGAATTGCAGCAAAAAATGGATAAAGGCATATCCTTTGTTTATCTAAACTTTAACGTTTGTTTATCTAAACTTTGTTTATCTTTAACGCCGCCGCGGGCATGCTATCAATTGGAAGTTGATCTGTCAGCACTATCCTTATCTTCAGGGCAGATGTTTTTATTTTATTTGGCTTATAATTCTTTACTAAATGTAGTATTTCATCTCGATGTACTCTGTCTTTGATATGATTTAAATCAAGTTCCCCGTCATTATAATTCGCTTCCGATAGTTAAGAAAGTGACAGAGAGGTTATTGAAAACGAAAACATTTCGATTGACAAATTAGTCGGTATTCTCGAACACCAATTATAGGACTTGAACAGCAGAACTTTGTAACTAAACAAGAAATTATGTCTGTTTAATAGAATTAAAGAGAAAGTATTATGACATGAAACGAAGCAACTCAAACAACTTACACTGAAAGAAATGTTTAATAAAGTAAACAAATAAATATTAAGCTTTTTCTTTTTGCAAATTTTGATACCCTTTAGATTATAATTATTCTTTATTTCATAAATTACGGTTTCATATTTTTAATTTTGTTATTTCTGCATGCCATCTTACCAGATTTAAACTGATGATCTATTATCCGGAAAAATCGATAATCCAGAATCGCCGAAGTCCCGACGAGTCCGGATTAACGACTTTTGACTGTATATTATTTCATTAATATTTAAGGCTTCTAGAAACACAAAAACATTTTTTAAATTTATTTCAGCTTCTATGGAATTATGATGTTCATAATATGCATTATAACCTTACTTATCTAAAAATTGCTAGCGTACTTTACTTTCGCAGTTCATAAGCAGAAATAAAAATTTCCAATAACATGGAATTTAGAAAACAAAATTTTTCTGCGTTTTACGTCAGGACGACATATCAACCTAAAACAAAAAATACTCGCTTAAGCGGGAAAAATTCAGATGTTCAACGGTGTAACTCGAGAACTGCTTGTTTGGCGCCAAAATATTACAGTGACACCTAGCGGAGGAAAATGAAAATAATCTATGGATACGCGGCAGTATAAATGCTTGTACGGATGCTGTAGGTGTGTCTTCAATTGACACAATGCGTTCGTATGCAGTAGTGGAAACGGGCCTTAATGGTTGTGTTCCTGAGGCATATTTTCTGCTACTTGTGCTTTAATTTTTAATACATAAAACAAAAATGCCAAATTAAATTATTATAATACTTAAAAACAATATGAAATCAGATTTCAGAGTGAAGCCAGTTAAAAATAAGAGAAGCCTAAGAATTTTTTAAAAAAAAAATCTGAGTACATAGTGCTACAGAGACATTTATCCTCATACAATATTTATTTCTAGAACTTTCAATACTCTTATTAAAACTTATTATTATTATTCATAGTAATGGTTTTTCATGTTATACACATTTACAAACAGAAAACATTTATGCAGTATTTATGAAATTTTACAATGATTTTCTTTCTGTCTAAAATGCTCTTTAACGTTATTTTATTTTTATGCTTTACATTTCTTTTTGTTACATATCAAACAAGGCTTGTAATAAAAATTATCTTGAGATAATATTAATCTTTGATTCATACATCAATTTAATTTTATCCAATGAAAACTATATATTCATAGTTGGATGAAATACCATTTACATTCTTTCACTTTCACAACTATATTTGCTATTATACAACAAGCACAATCTAAATATAATCTCAATAAAATAATGTTGAAACGTAGTACAATTGACTCCCAATTATATGGGAGTAGATCAACCTGGTCCTATGTATACAGAAAGTTTGTTAATTGCAGAATATTCCAAAACATTAATGTATAAAAAAACACCATGTTGCATACTGCAAGACATTTTCTATACTTTTTGTTGTTTAATTTATAAAACACATTTGAAAATAATATAAATATATGCTTGCATATACATTTTTTAACTTTTGGAAAGGGGGAGGAGAAAATGGTGAAAGGGTTGTATGGAGCAAAAAAGGATGAGCACCGATGTAACATGGAGTATAAGCATAATAGGTAATATGTATAAACAATGTATGCATAAAATATAGTGTACTTACTGAACATGCTTTTTAATATGCAATATAATACAAAGTTATTCAAAAAGACGGACTCAATTCAATTACTATGTATTTCATGAAGTATGAATTGCATATGACAGTCTACATACCGAAGGAAAGAGCAAGTTCCAAAGTTTTGTTTACCACAGCTGGTGTGGTGATAGTTGTGTAAATCGTCGATAGGGTATTCATGCCAGTAGGCGCGCATTTTGTTTCACTCTCAGTTGTAGTAAGATGGCTACGATGCAGCATAAGGTTTTCTGTGTTTTCGAGTTTGCAAGAAATGAGTCTGGAGTTACAGTGCAGTGGACATTTCATCTCTGATTTGGCATTAACCACATCAAGTAGAAAAAGCAGCAAATGTTGTTTTACGCAAAGGAACTAGACGTCTCTGCAAAGGAAAAAGCTCAGGTCAACCGCAAGTATTACAGGATGACGCGAGATGAATAGAAGACAGTTTTGTGCTTGGTCTAAGAGAGTCAACTAACTGAACTTGTAAAGAACTAGAAATACCCCAACCAACAGTATGGCATATTTTGAAAAATGTTTGCCACACAAGCTCCACTATTTACAACTTACGCAGGCTCTCAGTAAGAATTGCAAAGAAAAGCATACTGAATTTTCTGGTGATATGTTAAAAATGATGTAGGAGGATGCGTTAGAACTGAGCTTAATTTTTAGTGATGAAGTTATGTTCTACCTTAGTGACAAAGGCAAAATGAATCGACACAATGTTCGCATATGGGGTCTGCACATACCCCATCCAGCATTACAACATGAGAGAGTTTAAGTGAAACTAAACATGTTCTGTGTCATATCACGGACAAAAGTGTATGGACCATTCTACTTTGTTACATGTTACACCATGTTAGAACAATGGCTTTTTCCTCAATTTACTGAAGATTCATACGACTTCTTTTTCGACTCCATTCTATTGGCACAATGATGTCTGAGGATTTTTAAATCAATCCCTTCCTCAGAGTTGGATAGATCACATAGGAAATCAAGATCTGGTTCTACACTTCTGGCTACCAAGATCTCCGGATCTCGCATTGTGCGACTTTTTCTTGTGGGACTATGTTAAGAAGACTGTTTACATTCCACTGCTAATAACAACTCTGGCTGACCTGCAGAGCCATGACATTGCTGCAGTGCACTCAGTAACAAAAGACTATTTTTCGTGCCCCTCGGGGGGAGGGTAAAGTTTGTCCAATGCTCAGATGTTGGCTGTGCAGCAAAGGGGGCACAATGAACATTTACAACTAGTGTACACAAACTCTGAGACTTCCCCTTTTCATTAACATACATATTGTTCATGTCCAATTTACACTTTATGAAACACAAAGTAATTAAATTTGGTCCACCTTTTTGAATAACTCTGTATATAGAAATATGCAGTTATATGCAACATTGTATAATTAAATGTGTAGCAAGCAATAAATTGGAGTTTATATGGTATAAACATAGCATGCAATAACAAATATAATATTTTACTGAAAGCTCTAAAATTCTTGAACTTAACTTTCTAAAGTAATTCCTTGGGTCAAAAACATGCTCAGTAATACTACAAATATGAATTTTATTATTGTTAAAATAATCAGTTGTAGCAAAAAGCCTCTATTATGAAACATTTACTATGTAATCTCAGTAATAAAATATACACTGCTCGACATTGAAAATGCAACACCTAGAAGGAGTGGTCAGAAAGTGATGAAATTTGGAAAAAAGACATAGACAGCAAGCAGCAATAAGTGATCTTTATTTCAAAATGATAGTCAGAATACAGAAGAGAACAGCGTCGGCTCAGTAGAATGTAGGACCACCGTGGACAGCGATGCACAAAGAAACATGTTTAGGCATTGAGCCAATAAGAACGCGGATGGTGTCCTGAGGGATGGCTCTCCATTCCCTTTCAACCATTTGCCACAGTTCTTCTGAACAAGGCAGGGGCAGAGTGTGCAAACAGCATCCAATCACATCCCACACATGTTCGATTGGTGACAGGTCAGGAGAGTATGGTGGACAGGGAAGCATTTGTATACCTTGCAGAGCATGTTGGCAGATGCGAGCACTCTGTGGTCGGGCGTTATTCTGCTGAAAATTTACATTATGCAGCCCTTGAAGGTAGGAGATTGCCACCGGCCACAGTACTTTATCCAAGTATCGTAGGGCCGTCATAGTGCCCTGAACACGAACTAGAGGTAACCTGGAATCGCAGGCAATAGCACACCAAACCATTTTGCCATGTTGTCACGCGGTAGGGCGTTCCACAGTTACTGCCAGATTAGATCTGTCTCCACGTTGACGCCACACACGTATGCGGCGACTGTTACTGGATAAACAGAAGCGTGACTCATCTGAGGACACAACGTTTCGCCATTCTGTCATTCACATCGCTTCAGTCCGGCACCATTCTAAATGTTGCCATCTATGCTGTGGCGTCAATGGCAGTCTTCTTAACGGACGCCGAGAGTGCAGGTCACGTTCAACCAATCAACGGGAAATGATTCTGGCACATGCTGCAGAATCACGGTACAAGTAACTTGCGGGACAGCAACAGCTTGCGTCGTGGGAGATGCGTCGATCCACACGTGGCCGATGTCACTCTGGTTGCACCTGCACCCCTACTTCTTCCCATATTTCCTTGTTCCAACCATGTTCGCCATAGCCGATGCACTGTGCTCACATCCATGTGGATATCAGCTGCGATTTGACGTAAGGACCCTGCACTTCTCAATCCGATCACCATACCACTTGTAAAATTGTCTATCTGCTGGAAATGCCTTCGTTGACGGCGGCCTGGCATTCTCTCCTATTACACGTATCCTTCGGGACAAAAAGCAACTTTCTTTGATAATTCATCTGGCAGAAATAACGACACGAGTATTGCCCATTCTGTACGTTCCTTCCCTTATATATTACTTCACGTCCATCGGAGAGCTGCGCATTTCACATCATTCGCATAACTCAGTGACATGCGTCTACTCTAAAATTTGCATAAATTTCTGACCACTCCTTCTTGGTGTTGTATTTTCAATGTCGAGCAATGTACGTATTCTAGTAACACAACACATATTTGGCAGTAAAGAGTGGTGTAAAGGAAATGAAATGCTATATTTCTTTGGTAATGGCAACCAAGATTTTGCATAAACAAAAGAAAAAAATACATCTACTCTGACACCTAAACTTCTTATTTATGCAGCATACAGCATATTAACTATGTTGTTCATCATATAGCACAGTACAAAATTCTGTGTATTGTAAACTCAAAATTTTGTTCAAAAAGCCACTATTCTGCAGAATGTTCCTTTCGTTGCAGTCTGGGATATAAGATTTCCCCACAGGATAGGCAATAAAGCTGATAACTCAGTTATACAGCTGTCTATCCCCTGGTTTAAAGTAGTGTCTATCAGAAATATGGGGAAAAAAAAAAAAAAAGCATAGGATAACAGCAGCAATAGCAGATGATATTCATATGGTTTAATCACTTTTACTTAGCAGTTTCAGCTGTCTCAGATTAACAGCAATTTTAAGTTAAATTAACTGTGGACAGGTTTCCTAATATAACTACGGTTAATTTGAAGTTTACTTGTATTTTAATTTCCAATTTTTCATGAATTATTCTATTTTACTTAATTAGAGCATCATATTTCAGATGTAAACATTAATCTTAAATTAAAATACATACCTTTCTGCAACTGGAACCTGTCCATCCAACCTCAAAAATTTGTAACCTTTAATGTTCATGAATTCTTCTATTATATCTAATACCATTGTAAATTGACTAAACAATAAAATTCTGTGATCCTGAAAAGAAAAATGCAATTATTATTATACGAAATAGAATGTGATGATATTACTATATTGTGCAAATTAACTGGGACAAAGTGATTTTTTCCAAAAGAATTTTTAGTTAGCTGCCAACTGGAACCAGCACGTCCCTCAAAGCAATTTTAATATGCTTTAATGTCATCTGAATGTTTGCTTGTGACTTTAGAACCAGTTTAGACAACAAATTGAGATCACTGCACTATTTTTAAGCTTGTTTCTGTGAAAAGAGGATATTATTTTCGCATAATTCTTAAATACATTTTGCATTCATTCATTTTAGTGTACTAAAAATGAATACAATCCCTAGAAAAAAAGCAAATATTTTACTTACCAGTCACACATCCAAGACTAAGATATATTGCTTCCATGGTTGGTTTTGGAAAATGAAAGTGTTCCTTGAATTCTGAGAAGACACAATTAAACTGGATCACTTTCTCCACAAGGTAAAACAAATGTGAAACGTAAAAAGGGAAAAATTTCCAAAATTCAACCAATTTCTACTCCAAATTAACATTATTAGTCCAGCAAAAATTAGAAAAGACATTAAAAGAGATCTACTGTCTATTAGTATTGATATTATCCTTCAAATATGCAGCACAGACTTTTCACTGGTGGTCAGAAGGCAAGAAAACCAATTAAAAAAGCAATTCTGGACACATCAAATGAAGCAAAAGCAATTATTGTGGGGGTATACAAATCTTGGATTATAAAAAACAGGAAAAAGGTCATTTTTAAGCAGTGAGACTTATTTGTTCAGGGTTACAGATTTAACATTGTTAGGTGAAATAAGGGTGAATCAATAAGGTGGTGTATTTAATTATGGCAAAGCACACTAGGGCTATCTGCCTAAGGAAAGGGACGCCTTTGTGGAGCAATTTTTAAGGGAAACTGGCTCGCATACACGTTACACATGAGGAAAACCATGAAACCACCCATGCAGCCAGCCCGTTCGCGGGATTCAAGCCTCGGACCGAACTACCAGTGTTCAGCGACTTTACCGCTCGGCTGCTGGTGGGCGTGAATCAATAAGACCTTAACATATCCATAAACCCATAAAATACCCTCGGAAACTCGTTTTATGGTTTCTTCACTGCAGATGGCACTAGGAGTCTAGTTCCTATTGAAGGAATGATGAACTCTTCAAAGAAATTTTAAAATGTAATTTTGTGCCATTTTCAAAAACCTTTGCAGGGACATTTCAACAGGACTTAGCTCTATGCCACAATTTAAAATCTATTAGAAGGTTCCAAGTCGAAAACAAAATTATTGTGTTAGATTGGCCTGGTAATTCAATAGACTTGTGATTGAAAACTTGTGGCACATTCTCAAGGAATATCTTAGAAAAATGGACTGCATGATTAAAGAGTGCATGATTAAGAATGTTATACAAGTGAGGTACTATACTAAAGATAAGAAACATATATGCAAAAGAATAGAAGAGTCAGCGCCTAAGCACATTCTAGAGGTAATTTCTATTAAAGGAGGGCATATTTTCAATTAATTTTATAATTATCACTGTATATGAAGGTATGCATATAAATTAGCAAAACATTACTTTATCCCAGTTACTTTGCAGATTATAGTATGTTTAATATCAATAGTTACAACATAGCATACCTCTTCAATAAATTTCGGCAACAATTCTTCCAAAATTTTAAATTTTCCCGATTGAAGGATATCATCATCAGAAAGAACATAAGACTTCAGAGTCTTGGGGGAAGAAAAATATATGTCAATTATACTTTTATTCTCAATATTCACACAGAAAAAATAAATGCAAATCATTCATAAAAATTAAAATTATTTTATATTTCTAAAATTTTTACATTTGAAAATTTAAACCTTTGACCAGTTGTTTGTCACTTTTTTAACCTCCTAAAAAATGCTAATTTTTCAACACCAAAAGCTATAATCATAAATTTCTAGTGTTTTCTTTTGATTCTAAAATCACCACGGTATGAATGTCCAATATTTTGAAGCTATGAAATTAATATACCTCGTTCCAAGGTATCATGTTTGAAGATTGATAAATTCTATTGGAGAGAAAGAAAAAATTCAAAATCTGCAAATATATGACATACACATGCTGAATCTTATATACTTACTTCATTTCAGTCAGACGTGATAATTAACAAAAGATTATTTATATGATTTAAAACTAGTATATAATATATACCAGCACCCACACTGAGGGTACCACGCCAATAGATGGCAGCACCAGTCTTCTCCTTTTCTACTCTGTGACATGAGAGAATTTCTTTACAATTATAACAGTTTATGATGTAATAATTTTTATGATTAATTTATAAGTTGTTTAGGATTCAATATTTTGTTCATAAAGGGAGGGGAGTTTACTGACCATGCGCTGGGGCTGAATACAAGTATATGATTTCTTTGCTGCACTTGAGTTTTATTTGTCTCTGTTTAGCTAAAATTTTTATTTCAGCATTTAGCCCTTTCCCAAGAGAAAGACTCACCAATTTCAAAATTGCCATCTGGTGTCAAAACTTTACACAGTTGTGGGAGTTAAATGTGGCATGTTAGCCCCCAAAAGACACCCGTTGCTTCATGTTTTACAAAATCCTAGAATGCAAGGAAAATGAAAGAGATGATTGACAACTAATTTGTCATTCGGGAGCCATGCCTTCTTCCCTTTGTGAGGTGTGATAAGATCACACAAAGGGAAAGCTCACTTAAAATGGAAATGTACTTAAGGTCCATCTCATAGTGTAATCACAAAAACTGCTGGTTTGAAAGCATGCTTTTATTCTTCAGGGAAATTCTTTATTAATTTCAGATGAAAGACTAGGGAACACAAGAGAAATTTGCCTTTTGGGTTAGGATAAAAATAGGTTGTTTCGGAAATAAATTTTCACAGTTGGTAAAAGGAGGAAAAATATTTCTAAGGCCCGTTTTAGATGCAAACTAAAATTTATCCAAAAGTTGAAAAGGAACCCCTAGGAAGCCAAAGAGGTTCAATTCGGAATAACAGCTTTCAGGTGTATTAAATAATAAAATTGTTTAACGGCTTTTTTTCCTGAACAAAAATATATATTACAACCTATATTTACAAAAAAATAAAAAAAAGGGGCCCTTACGGTCCTCGATAATCTAAAGTGTGTGTGCGTGGAGAGGAGGGGGCCATTATTGGTATAGCATGAAGCATGGTTTTTTTACATATTATCTAAAGCATAAAATATAACTTCAAAAATGCAGCATACTCTCTCAGCTGAGTCATAGTGTTTCAGTTTTCAACTTTTTTATTGTTCGGCTGAGTTTAAATCAAGTTCAAAAGCTTTATACCTATATTTTACATAAGTATGTACAGCTGGGCTGCATCACCAAAGAGCATAAATTTTATTTTTTAAACTTTTAATTTCTACTGAAATTTTAAACGTTTTTGTCTTTAGACTTAAACTATATTCAACCACTCATCTCTACAGATGCACATCAAAAGTAAGCAAAATTAATTTTAAAAACAAAAATTAAGAATTGGAAGCTACCTGGATAAAAATGTCTTAGAGGGACACCGGTATAAAATATATACCAGCTCTCAAAATTCAGGATTTTGCTCTAGATTTTTTTGAAGTCTCAATTTTGTATCCTTAGGGTCCGTTCACGCAAAATTTTACCACAATTTAAATTATTTTATATACTACTCCTCAAAGGGTTAAAACAGATAAATTACTCAAGAACTGAATTATAACTATCTTAACCCAAGTGGTATAATTACCTTTCCTGGAGGGAAATACATTAGAAAATTATAAATTTACATATAGCAGGTAAAAGGCTCTTGTATAATGAGAGCAAAATCGCTAAATAAAACTAATATATTTATTTTAATGCCAAATACATAACCAAAATCTAATTCACTTGAATTGAATTAATGTTGGTGAATTTTTTAGATAATTGTAAGCAGATGAAAAACTGAATAATGAAAGAACTAAAATTAGAGAAGATTTCGAGTAAAGTATTATTAAGTAGAGGAAAGTAATTTTACCCTTTCTAATAATGACAAAATTTGATGGCAGTAGGAAAGTGAACAAAAAAATTTTCGATTAAACTGCAGCACTGAAAACAAGTTGCTAATAAGTTATATGAACCTCTGTTATGAAGTTATATGAAAGATGTTGCATAAATATAAAAGAAGTTTTGCACAAAGAAGCAAGAGATCGAAAATGAATACACTGTAAGCTTTTACTTATCTTTATATGTATTTCTCATAAAAAAAAATGTTTCTTCTTCATTAATCCTTTTGGTATTGCACTCTTTTGGCACTAACATTTCATCCAATTATGTTAAGTTCGCACGTAGCAGATAATTTATGTTTTTTTAAATGATTTTAAATATTTGCAAGGCATGCATTTAATAATATCATAACTAAAATAGCTCTTTTAGCATACGACTTTCACTTTCCATTAATTCCTATGTCTCTAATTTGTTTGAATTTGTTGCATCTAGTTTGATGTTAAACCTTTTTTATATACAACAAACATTTAAGTCTAGTAGTAAAATTAAAATATATTAAAACTTTAATTTAATAGTTTCATTTCTCATGAAATTACATTCTTTGTAGGTATACATATATACACAAATATATAATATACTGGTAGTGAAAAAGTAACATTTTGAGTTATATTCTCATGATATATGCTTCTAATTTCTAATTAAAAAGTTTTAGAATATCAATTTTAAAAATAGAAGGTATCAATTTATGTTCATATAATTTGATTTTGGAGATATATTTCAGAATAGTATATGTATTTTTGATGTCTTGAAAAAATATCAATTTAGTGTCATAATGATCATTACAAATTCTAGTTTTCTAAACTGATAATATTACCAAGCAAATAGATTAAATTAGTTGAAGGCAATTCCTTAGTCTGAGTCTTGCTGACAATTTAAAATATTGTTACAATAATGAATTCCAATGATTCAGACATTTTGTTTTATCCTGGAACTCAATGCCTCAGATCCAGTACAGAATCTTACAGCCTTTCTTAATAAGTAGGCATTAATAACTCACAGTAAATGCAATTTCAGTATTACACTTTACTGAAAGCATTTTACTGTTTACCTTTTCTTTTGTTATTTAAGTTTAAGGACTGTTATTAGAGACAGGAGTTTTAGAATGTAAGCTTTTCTCTTTGCCTCGGTAATTCTTACAAAAATAATCATTTGCTGACTTAGCCAATCAATAACTTTTATTCTAATCTAAATTTTTCAAAATAATTTATACAACTACACTTCTTCCTTTTCCTCCTCCTGTTTCATTCTGCCGATGTCACTAAATGTTCTTTATGTTTACAATAAATGCACTTATATATGCAAAATAATTTGCTTCTGAAAAAAGAATATTTGTTAGCTTTCTAAAATCTTTTCAGTCAGTATCAATGAAAAAAAAAAAAAAGAAAATCACTAATTATTTGAACTTTGAATTCTTACTTTATAGGTTTTACATAAGTTGTGAAGTTCAAAATCTGACATTACACTCATATCTTCGAACACAAGATTTGGATCTGACTCACAGTGAGTAGGCTCCTGAAACACACAAATCAAAAACTCTAAATGTATATTACTTTAGGTGACTTAAAAAATATCAATAAATTACTATTCATATTTAGTTTAATCGAAATTTCAGGAAAAATAGCAAATTACACTTACAGATTAATACCTAATACGGATAAACACACATTCTAATCTCTGCAATTCATTCAACCACAACAATTAAGATATAAATTCTTATTCTGACCAATGAACATAATCACACAGCTGTCCTTATACAGTTGCCCCCCCCCAGATGAGAATTAATGAATGAATTCATATATGTTTCAAAATCAAATAAGTGCAGCAGTCCTGAAAGTCAGTTTCATATGGAATATATTTTTCAAGATTCATTACCTCTATGTGCTATAAAAATTTCTATATCAGACAGCTTAATTATCACATACTTTACTGACTTTTCTTTTAGTGGATGAATCTATACTAACTCTTAGTGACAAATTTGCATATGATTGTGTCTTACTGTGCATCTTTTTAAAATATTTTCAATTGTTTTAATTTGAATTGTTACATTAGATATGATAAATAATTTTTAACTTATAGTATATAACATACTGCAATATTTTTAACAGTTTATTATTCTGAGCATTATACTAAACATTTACATCATTTTGAAAGTCAAAAGCCAGTTAACATTTTATTTGTACTGCACTCAAATAGAACAAGTGCAATTAAAAAGCGATCCTAATAATAAGCATTTAGAAAATAAGCAACTATAATCTGAAAATTTCATACACAACCTGTCATATTCATATAATTAGTTTTAATTTTGATAAATATAATAATCAAACACCTTGAACTGAATTATTTTAGCTACTAGTGCAGCAAATTGCTTAAGTAAAACGTGATTAAATATGAAGTGAAAGAGAAGGATTTTCAAATGTTAAATGTATAAAGGAGATACTGTTCCCAGGAAAATTTAAAAATCAAAGTGATAAATGCATACAGATGCTAAATATGCTAAATAAATGAAGAACACTCTACTCAAATCTTTAAAACTATACAGTCGTAACATATAACCATAGTATATGTGAAAATCTAGAATTATTAGATTTACAAAGAAAAACCAAAACTTTGTGTGCTCAAAACTAATGTTGTTGAAGCATATGATAAAAAGGAAAGAATAACAACACAGAAATTGAACAAATACCTTCACATTATCATTTCAGTTAAATTAAACTGAGGCTAATAGCTAATGAAAGTACTGAATCAAAATCTTATTTAAAGATGCAAAATATGGATGTAAAAGCATCAGGCTTTTAAAAATATTGAAAGAAAACATTTCAGAAGATAATCAGGTAAGCTGATTATGAGAAAAACTTCTTGCATATTTGCCTAACGATTAAAAGAAGGCTACAATAATACAAATGCATTACCAAATAACTATACAGGCCATTTTGTTAACATGGAGGTTTCAGTGTATAACACAGAAAGAGTGAGCCACAGAAACAATGTATAACAGAGAAAGAGAATAACAGAAACAGAGTGTATACCATAAAAAGCAGGAGTGCTTAAGTATGTAACACATTTGTGATATAGGGGCAGTTAAACTACTATTCGGCAAAAAGTCTCTTTAAGATGTTGTCAGTAGAGAAAGAGACATGGCAGATGCACAGTTCCTTGGGCAATATTCTCAGTAATGAGGGAACTATCGAGAAAAGAATTTCGATCATTTTCAATGAAAGCACATATCTGCAAATGTAAATAATCATTCAAAACATATATTTATCAGATTTCACATCATTACATTTTTTAAAACTGCTTATATGGAAGGGTTAGTGATATAAAAATAAAGAGAAACTGTCGGAGTACAGCATTTCACTTCAAAGAGTAACTTTATGCAATTTTCTATAATTAGAGAAGGAATAAAAAAATAAGTGTTCAAAATCATCCAATATCCACCTTTTGTTATAGATTCTGCAACTGTGAAATGTAGTTTTTAAGATTATCTAGAATTTCAGTTACATATATGACAGTATTTGCTATAACAACAGGCCTGTGTATTTTGTGTTAAAAAATAATTACTATTTCTAAACTCATATAAAATAATCACTTGAAGGTAGAACTGACTAATTATAGGAAAACAGGTTAGGGCTATCTGTCTAACAAAAGGCATATTCCTAGTGAGATTTTTATGAGATAATAATAGAATTTTATGAGAAACTAGCTCGCATTCACATTTTACACATTGAGAAAAACCACGAAAATTCCTTGCAGTCAGCCTACACAACAGATTTCAGTATGAACTACCAGTGTTTTGTAATTTTGGCCATTAATGGGTCCATTTACTCGGTAATAGTAACAAGAGTAAAAAAAAAATCTGATACAAAATCTAAACTAAATCATTTATTTCAAGGTAAGTCATTTACACTGCAAAACTGCACAATAAAAGAGGCTTATGAAACTGATCCCCATGAATTTTTTTAAATAATGTTATTTTTATACAGACTACAAATTCATATATACACATTTTAGATATATAACAGAATTTCAAATATATGGACTAACAGGGATGACAACCAATCCACAGATTAAAAAGTAGCAATAAATGTTTTCTTCCTCACTCTCTTCCCTGAACAGACAAATATGTATTTATCGTAATGCAAGTGCAGGAAACGCTTGTTTATACTTCTGTTTTTTGTGCCTCACTTAAACAATTATTAGACAATTAAACTGTTATTTTCTTAAAAAGAAAAACATTTTTTGACAAAATTAATGAAATTATTAAAACACAACGCATTTTCATTTTAATCAAAATAATGCAATACAAATAATTTTTATTTACACAAAAAAAAAAAAAAAAAAAAAAAAAAGCCAAACTGTTAAATATTCAGCTAAGCTTTGTTATTCTATAAATTTCATTTGTTTATATTGATTTTTACTTGTAGAAGACCTTCAAATTAAATTAATCTGTGCACAACAAATATCTAAAAATCATTATCTTCGTTTTAAATTAATAAAATATTTTTTAATCATAATATATCGTCTGTTATAATGATAAATGATAATTTTTGTTTAATTAACTATAAAAAGTTTTAAATGATGAAACCATTTTTTTTTAAATAAGCTGCTAAGATTTTAGCAAATTATGATTTAAAAGCTTTCTACAAAGCGATATTTGAAATTAATTTTGATGTGCCAATTTGTTAGGTTCTTATTAAAAAAATTGAGCTGATAAATACTTTATGTAAATATAGTAATCAGTTATTTACCCTTTGACGCGCGCTATATTATTTTTATAATTTTTTTTACTAAAAACATCTAGAAATTCGAATATTATGATCCTAGAAGACATAAGTAAAATATGAATTTAAAAAAATCTACTCTTGCCCAATTTTTCTGTGGGTGGTGGTTTGCACTGTGAAACCCAAACCAGCGTGCGCATCTAGGACTTTGAAACTTACTGAGGTAGTAGGGGAAAAAAAACTTAACACTTTTTCCGTACGCGTTTCCAATAAATGACGAAATTTACGAATTTAAAAAAAACGTACTGCATTTAAAGAATTGCATCAATATGTAAATTTTTTTACATTATTTTACAAAGTCAATTGCCAGAAAAAATTAAAAAATAAACATTTATGTAATTTTTCTATAGCACAGTGAAAATATAAGTACTTACATAATAAGGACGTTCGGATAAATGGATAAAAAAACTCAGTAAAGGAAAAAAAACTCACTTTTTTTTAAATTTCGAAGAACACATTTTTTTGTGACACTGTTCAAAGCACGTTTTGTCTTTTTCGTACATGCATAGACCCACATTGCACATTTCGCATATATATCTTGTTCTATGAGGTTTCTTCCTTGTGTACACTGCCTGAATCTTCTAAATTTCACTGGTATATGTCCAGCATCATTTAGTTTTTTTCATCTGGCACATGAAATTTGTGGTTTTTTATGTTATAGGAGGGCTTGTCTTTTGATTGATACGGATCTTCGTTTCCCATCATACTTATTTATCGTATTCGTACCAAAATATTCAGAAAATATATTAATTTTAAATAAAACTTTACGCGATTCATTTTTAATTAAGCAAGATATTTACATTAAATTAAACACAGGAAAATTATAAATCACAATACTACTTGGGAGCAAGTGTTTAGGTCAGAGAAAAGTTCTGAAGCAAGCCTTTTTACTGGGCAGTGCATTATTGTAGTAAAAAATCGCTGTCATTCAAAACCCCATCTATATTCCAGTAAAATAAAATGCCTATTGAGAACAGCAAAACCATTGTGAAGACAGTAGTTCAGGCGCGACTACCGATCCTCTATACTTGTCTAGACATGCTTAGTGGTGCACGACGCGCCTGAACCACAAGCAATGCCATACATATAGAGGTTTTTTTAATATATGCAGTTTAATTGTTATTTTTATTGTTTATGATAGAAATCATGATGTGATGAATAACTTTGAAATTTAAAGTTGTTTATATAATAAAAGAGTATTTTGCTCATTGAAAACAAATTTTAAAGGCGTCGATTTGAAGTACTAAACCTAAAATGTATGATTCTGCAGTCATTTTGTGTTATTTAGAGGTAAAAGATCAGTAATCAATTGATTTTCAGTCAAAAATTTCGGAAGGAAGAGGAGAAAAAAATTCGAAAATTGGTCGTTTCAAGGCGCGACCACCGTGCGTCAAAGGGTTAAACTGCTTTATGATTGAAAACGATGTGTTGGTAGTTCAAAATTGTAGAAAATAAGGAAAATTTTTCAGTTTTGGAGTTTTGGGACAATAATTTTATTCTTCCTAAAATGTTAAATGTTTAAGAATCTTATACCCATTTTTAAGAAGAGTATTTTAAAAATGTAATACTTTCCAAACAATGTTAGACAATGCTTGATTTTTGTCCTTCTTTCTCACCCCTCCTTTTTTTTAATTTATGAGAACTAAAATTATTTTATACATGAAGTTCACAATGAACTAAAAACTGACAATTTATACCAATAAAGAAACTGAATGTAATTTAAAATGTTCATCA